GATGCTTCTTTCACTTCATGGTGGCGGTCAAAGCATACCTTCCACCAGCGCACGCTTCAATTTTTGTGCAAGCTCCAGGCCCATGCTGACTCAAACTCTGCTCATCCCGTGTTACACATTCGACTGAGCCAAACCCACTGGACTCGACGGACACCAAAACCACATGTCCAGCGGCCCTGCTCGGCCCTGCTCATGGCCGGAGGGCCTTGTGCACATGATGGCCCGCACTGGGTTTCAGTTGTTTCACTGCATGACACCACCCTGTTCGGTTTCAGGAGAATCGTCATGTGAGTCGTTCCCCCGCCCTCTACTTCCATGTCGACCAGTGGAGTGAGTCGGAGCCCTTTTGATTCAGCAAAAGCACCCGCCTTGGAAGGCATCAGAGACTAAGTGGCCCCAACCACGCTGGTCACACCTCTGAGGCGCGAGAGAGAGAGAGAGAACTCGAGAGTGGCAGCTACGGCGACCACCCACGAACAGGGACGAGATGAGGCGACTCGTCCTTGAATACCTCCGTGCACTTCGATTGGCATGCTCTCATGATCAGCTGAAAAACTCCACTTGGAGTATTCACCCCCCCCAAGTAAAGTCTGGCCTTGACCGAGATGCTGAGCGGTTTCCGGTTTCCAAACCGCTCGGCTAGCAGTTCAGACCTCCGATTTGAACTCAGGAGCTTGGATCTTCTAAGGTTTTGTTTTGTTGGATCTTCTGCGGTATTGCTTCCACTCAAGGGAGGTGTTCCAAAACCCCTGCAACACCCCAAACCCCTTCACAGCCGAAACCCAGGTGACCGGAGCCCAAGGCACTCCAGCGAGGAGTTGTTGAACCTCGGGCTTCGTCTTGGACGGCGGAAAGCATGGAGATGGTCAGTTCGCCCACCCGGTTGCAGGAACTCTTAGTGACATTGAGGCAGCACCAGTACAGCAGCACCATTGCAGGGATTGCGGTCTGTCTAGACACTTGTCTATCACCAAAACGGGCTGCGTGGACCCAAGAGAAAGGACTTGACTAGCGTGCCCATGTCAAGTCAGGGCCAAACCAAAACAAGAAACAAACAACAACCAGGAGTCACAAGACGGGGAAGTTTAGTCCCTAAGATTCCCATCCAGTGAGTGGAGTGGAGTGGATCATGGGCACCCCTACCTATGCTCCAAGTTTGGCACTCCTTCATTTGTGACTCCTGGAGAAAAAATGTTCTGAAGCCAAGTGGGAGTTGACAATCCCACGATCTTGCCAGCACCGAGGCAACGCTCGAAGCCCTCAGTATCGATCTGTCCATAATCCGCCTTCCGGCCCATGGCGAGTTCAGAGGCGAGACGGACGTGTCAGGTGTAAGAAGAAGGCTTGGAGTTTGAAGAAGCCTGGCGAGTTCATGTGTGTGTTACAGTTGGGAGCCGTTTGATCAGGTTTTTGATGGTTGGGGTTTGGGGGTACGCTTTATCACTGCAGATCTTGCGCGTACATTTGTCGGTTTCACTCGGGTTTGTGTTTCCATCGAATCTTGGACGAAGATGGAGCTGTCCATCCCTCTTTCCTCCAAGCCAACCATGCGGGTATTTGGCTACAATATTATCATGTAGCCATTCCATTGCATGTCTGTTGCAGTATTCTTGAACACTGAAAGGAGCTGCTGCATGCTGCACGTCAAGGTCGGTCTATCCCATGGTAACTGATAACAGCAATTTAGTGCTGCTTAATGTCATTCGATATTGTTTGCCGTGGATACTATCCCAACCACTAAACATGCAAGGATACAAGTTGTCTTCCAATACAAGGGGGGGCATGTTCCGCTTCCATCTTCGTCTTGAATAGTGTGACATGTTCTCCAGCGCCACTTGCACCATGTGCAATTGCCTGCAAGGGATCAACCTCAAGACTGCAACTCCTGAATTCCCTTCCGCCACCGGGCCTGTTCCAGGGTTTTTGCCCCAAAGGGAGTCAGGCTGTGCCCATCTTAGCAAACATGGAAGCTGCCAGAAGGATTGTTGAAGACATCTTGGTGTTCAACATCGCCCTTGCCGTCCAAAGACTGGAACGCACCGCACCCTTTTCCTCCAAAGGCCCACATTCATGTCTAACGCACCGCGCCGCGCTTTCCTTCAAAAACAACTGGCAAACAAATCTACAGTTTGGGGTGCGTCTTTCGAGGCCTCCCCAGCTCTGTTTGGATCTGACTTCGGGGTCGCGTGGTGGACGTAAAATCAAACACCGGGAGGCCAACTGGATTAAACCTAGTCACCCCAAGGTATCCAGGTATGTGGAATACTTTAACCTTGGAACTTGACTTTGAGCCAACCCACATGTTCCCTGAAAGGTGGGAACATAGTGAACTTGTTCTTCTTCATTTCTGATGACGCTCAGAACATCGTCAACTTTGACCATGCGGATCTCAAGAAGTTCCTCCAAACAATGTCTGAACGTACTGAAGCTTACTGAAGCTTTATGAAGTTCTCGCACCCCAATAAGAAAAACATGCGGGATCTCTATATCAGCATCAAGTTTTTGCACCCAAAACTGGAGACGGAACCTGAATTGACCTTGTGGGTCGCTCCTAGAACCCCAAATTCCACCCTGAGATACAGCCCAAATGTCCACTTGATAAGACACAGGCTGCTCTTGGATTTGGGCATTGGGGGGTCGGACACCTCGTGAGAAACACCCACACCTCTCGGCACACGACCCGCCGCTTCCATCTCACTCTGCGGCTTCCATCTCACTCTGAAGCTTCCAACCTCCGCGCCGCTGCCGCAAGAGCATCTTGCCCTTGCTGGCTTCAGGGATCCTCGTGGCTCGAAAAGCATTCTGATCATTCTGCAGTGTTTTTTCAAAGACCCACGTGACCCAGCCACAGTCGCCTTGTGTGTTTTTAGTTGTGCGTCTAGGAATCTAGAGATCCTACTCATCGGAATGTCGTTGGCTGTTGAAGAAGCCGGACAGTGTCAACCACTTGCTCCTTCCTGGAGTGTTTCTAGACCCGAATTAAGTGAATCCTGAGCCTAGACACATTGAATTGCTTGATAGGCACCTTAGCTAACCACACTGCTGCCTCTTCTCCTTGGCGTTCCCTTAATAGCGTCGTTTGGGGCGACGACTCGGGCCATGCGCATGGCCAAGCGGCTCGCGCACGGGGTCGCCATTGTCAAACTGCGAGTAAACGATGCCGTTGGAGTAGTGGTGGTAGTTGATGGTCTTCGCACGTGCCCACCACTCCTGGCGCTTCGACAATCATGCATAAAGCAAATCCGGATTGTTTTGAGACTTCACATCGGGAATCTCGATGTGTCGATGTCCTGTCCGCGGGGACGTGTGCAATCCGTTCAGAACACTTCCGTCACGTTGACCTTTACTAGCTTCTTCAAAGTGACCTTTTGGATCCTTTTTGGGAATCCTGAAATGGCGTTTTGCAGGCCTAAGTGGCCTCAAAACAGGGGATCAAGTTCGGTCACTTTGAAGAACCAGGTGCTTTAATATGTCATATTCCTGGAACACCTGAATGACCTCCCTTTTGGACCACCAACTACCCAAAATATAGTCTTTTCTCTGGTCTTTTCCTATCAAAACAGAGGTCAAGTGGGTTCCATATAACTTATAACTATACATATTACTAGCAACCCTAGAGTGCCACCCCCGTTTTGCATCGTTTTGTCGGGTTTTGTATAGCGGCTCTACCCCACTATTTCGAAGAGACGCGAGAGAGCCGGCTCAGTCCCCCAGAGCCCGGGGCTCCTCGGAGGCCACTCCTGGAATCAGCTCCCAGCGGTACATCACGGGAATCACCTCGGCACCGCTTCTGAAGGCCCGTCGGCGAGGCGCTCGAGCGGAGCTAAGGCCGCGAGCCGCGAGAACGGTGTGGGTTTTTTCAGGGGATGGTAGTAGAAACATCTATGGAGACTAAAAGCAGGTTTGTAGGGGATCTCCCAACTGATCTCCCATTTTCACGCCCAGTGGATGGTCATTGTTGAGGTTGGCCTTTCGAAAGTAATCATCTTTGACCGACTGCTAGTGAGCTGCTAGTGGTGGAGCTGAAGGGCCGCTGGTGACTCGCTCTCATCACTGGTGACTCGCTGCCCGCTACAGGATGCTACCGGAAGCTACAGGGGGGCCATGCTTCAAGCTTGGTGCTGGCCAAACATGGTGTCTATGTTGGCAGTTTGACAATTCAGTCCATGAAAGGGTAATCCTGGTTGCACTGCCTGCGGAAAAAGAAACATGGTCTCTTGGATCAAACCCTTCTTCAAGAAAAGGGTACCGTACGCCCTCCTAGGCTTCTGGTAACGTTCTAAACCCAAGCCTTCAAAAAGAGTGGTAGTGTTGAATCGTTTTGATGTTTCATCTAATTCTCCACATCGGAAATCAAACCCACCCACCCTCTTCGCCTCCATCTCCTCTTCGTCCTTTTCCCATCCCTCCCGTGGTGAACGACGTCTTCGTGTCACGAAAGCCCACGCCTTGTAGGCCACCCAAAGGCCGGCGAGGCCACCCACCACTGGTGCGACCTTGTCCATGGCGATGGTGGAAGCTCGACGGCGAAGGGGCGCTGTGGTTGGGCGCGCGGACGCTGCTTGGGCCGGTGCCAGCGGCCAATGGCAGGTGATGGCAGCAGAATCACAGCGGCCAATGCGACACATCATGTGGTTCAGAAAGGAGTTGTGGCAAATCTATCAGAGGGACTCCCAGGGAGAAACAATTAATGTTCTTTCAGGTGTGGGGGATGGACTTGGGTGTGTCCTGACGCAGGGTACCATGCAGGGCCGAGCAGAACTCTGCTAGGGGCTCTGAAGAATACCTGCGTTATACAAAACAAACAACTTGAAACACACTGACTCCCTCAGTTTCCCTGGTTCCCCCTCTTCCACCTCTTCGATTAGGAACTAATCATAACCTATCCTCCCCCCAAAAAAGGTGTTCAATGGCTACAACCGGTTATCAACTGAGAGGAAGCGATCGATCCACAAATGGCGCCATCCCCACGGGGAGCTCGACTTCGCGGACCGAGCGACTGGGGCGGGATCCGGTGACCTGTGAGTGGCTGGCCACCAAAGGCCAAGGTGGCGCCAGGGATGCTCAAGCAGCGCTCCATGTGATCCAAGATCTTCTCCTCATCTCATGAATGCTGCGCTCGGATTCTCGGGCTGTACAGCTCGGAGGCTTTTAGGGCAAAATGGATGGATGATAGATCTACCTCCCTGCTCGGAATCCTCCAAAAAAAGAGGGATCATGTGAACAGCGGCTCATTGTGCAAGGGTTTTGCCCCTCACATCTCCGGACCTCTCACAAACACATCACATGTCATATGATATACACAACTACCTGGACCCTCCTGTCGGGGTGTCCTGGCTGGACTACCCCACATTACCGCACTAGGCTTCCAGACAGGGCACCCCTTGGAGGGTCCAGCAGTTTGAGATGTGAGAGGCTTCATAATAAGCCTTCTCGGACGGTCAGTTCAGCACACACAAAATACAACCCAAACAATCCGGACCCTTAAACATCCTTAAACGCACACACATGCGAATATGACGAGACAGGGCTCTAAACATCTCTAAACCTGTTCGAAAGGAAACAGGCCCTTGCTATGGAGGCTTCGACTCCTTCTGCCGTGTCCAGCGGATTCTGAGGGGCTCAATTCGGTGAATCCCAGCACCCGCCCGGTTGGCGCCCGTCCGTGGGCCACGTGAGCACCGGGCAGTTGGTCAAATTCTCCAGGCTTCGCTGCCCCGCCAGCTTGGCCAAACGCCCGACGATGTCCACCTGCCGCTCGACGGTTCAACCAGAAAATGCGTCTGAGCATGGGCGGTCTGCCATTGTGGAAACGCCCTGTGATTGATGGTCGGCCGAAAAAGGGTCCGAGCCTTCATTTCCTGACAGGTCTTTGGTGAGAGAAGTGTGCCAGGTTTGAGCTTGAACTGAAAGGGTTAAGCAATACCGACCATCCAACAAATGATAAAAGGACATATAGAATTATAATAGAATTTAATAGAAGGAAATAGAAGGTGAACAGGTGAACCATGGTGAACACCTCCTCTTGGGTCTAAATTCTCTTCCAAGATGAGGGCGGCCATCCATGGCTCCGTCTCTTCCAGGTTCTGGTCGTGCGGAACCCGCGGGATCCGCGCCTCTGCCGACGTCCAGTTCCTCAGTCGTTCTCCCGGTGGGGCAGCAGTGGCGACGCTTGAAAGATCTACTACTAACAAGAAGCTAGCTATAGTAGCAAAGGGCATCGCTACTAGTTACAAGGGCATTACGACTATAGTAGCATTCTTGCCACTAGGAACAAGACGACGTCAACGTAACTGAAGGAACACCAGGAGAAACCGAACCGTTGGAGATCCGGTCGGACTGGACTCTAGGTCTCTAGGTGACTCCAGTGGTGGATTCCGGTCCTACAGGATACTCCAGGAATGACAAGGGCCATTGGGAGGTATCCAATCACGACGTACCCTCCTACAGTGCTAGCATATGTGAGCAAAGGCTAGCTAGCGGCTAGCATCTACGCGGCCGCACGGCATATGAAATTTTGGCTATGGCGACCCAGCTATGGCGAACCTCGAAGAAGCAAGCCGTTTGGATCTCCAATCTTGACCAAGCCTCTCGTGCATGAAAAGCATGGACTGTGCGCTGCACTTCTGACCGGCAAAGCCGTAAGCATCATGGTCTGCCTGCCATGCGACAAAGTCCACGTCCATCACATCCTTGGGCGATCTGGGTGTGGAACACCGGGGGGGTGAAAACATGTGAAAAACACCACTCCCAAGCCATACCCAGTGCATCCCAGGAAGACCACTATATAAGGAACCAGGGATTCGTTTGGTCTATGGTTTTAGTCTTTATAGTGGTAACTGGATGCCCTGGGATAGTGAATCGGGCTAGACTCATTTCATTAAAAAATATTGGAGGTTTAAGGGCAAGGAGTTTGAGCAAGTGGGTTAGCTGATAAGCAGGCTGGTTTCGTTCCTAGGCCAATCACCTGAAGTGCACCATCTGGAATAAGATGGAGGCAGGCGTGCAACTAAACATCTGACGTGGGAGCAACAATAACAAGTCTAATTTCTCACAAAGCCTGAATGAAAACAGAACCTTCTCCAGCAAAAAGGTGCTTCTATTTTGGTGTCGTAGCAAACGCTACAAACATGTGTAGAGGGATGGAGGGCTTAAGTGTCAATTGTTTATTGCCTCAAAGAAAGGAATTGCATACAATCCGTTTAGACATGTTTGGACGGCTGGTGTGAGACAAAGACTGTTTACATTTTTTTTCCACAGCACCTCCAATCAATCTCATACCCAGTGAATAGCTGCCGCGGTGAGTAGACCAAAAGACTCTGGGGGTGATGTCCACCGCTTCTGCTGAAATAGGGTGATGCCACCAATTAACTGGTTGGTGATTTAGTGATGGAATAAAGTATCCACACGCGCGCACACACACACACACTCTAACTAATCACATATGAGGGCTCCAATAACGAATCGCCAACTAGCTCATTCCCCAATGGACCGTAACTATTTAGAACCATCGCCAGTATACCTGCAATTGGCAGGCCCCACCACGGTATGGAAGATCCTTCATCGGGGAGTGTCAAGAACTTCCCCAGCAAACACCTCTTGTTGTGTGAACTCTTCTTTACCTTGGGACTGCCCAGTTCTAATTATATAATTCCATTTAGTTTAAGCATCTCATATAAGCTTTGTATAACTTTATCTTTCTACTAGACTCTTAGACCCACAAAGGATTTGACAAAGGATAAGGATCTATTTCCAGGGTCGCAGCCCGCTTCACCGGGGCACCGGCCCTAGGATCTTCCAATCAAAGCCGGCATCCTCCAGCTTCACCTGCGAGGTCTTGGTACCCCTCGGTGCTGATGTGAAGGACTGACTAATTAGTAGCTTCTTGCTACTAGTAAGGCCAGGAGCTACTAAGTAGTAGCGATGCCCTTGTTACTAGATCCGAAGCATCGCGCCTTGCCCTTGAGCTCCACCGCCAACTTGTCGGCGACCCGCTGCGAGCCGGTGAAGAGCGTCATCTTGGCATCGCCCCCTGCACCGGAAAAAAGAAAAAAAAACGAGGCGCCGGGCGGATAGGCCCGAAGCCGATCCCAAGCCGAAGCAGCAGAACACCCGTTTTAGCTTCTTCAAAGGTGACCTTTTGGGACTCTTGAAGTCACCTTGTGCAGGCCTAAGCGACCTCAAAGGGAATCCAAAGGCCACTTTGAAGAACCATTCTGGGGAAATCATGAGTGAAATGCATTTGAGACAGTGCTCACTGTGGTTGGTGTCCACGCGAAACGCAGAAGCTTTCTTCTGAGTGGCTGAGCAAGACCTCGTTGAAAACAGGGCCATCGCAGTAGATGTAGTCGACCTTAGCTTCGGCCGACTGCAGGAGACTCGGAGAGGGATGAAGCCCTGGTTTTGGGCTGTGTTATGCCCATGTGACATAGATGATGATCAAAGCCTAGGAGACTGCGCAATCAGCATTCCCACCTGCACAGGGAGAGCAGGGCCCAGGTTAAGTTGCAGCTGACCAAAAACAACCCACCCACTGGGACCAAATTGAGCCCAAAGCTGCCAAATCATTGAACCAAAAACGTGGAACAAGCAACTGTAGAAGTACAGTATGTATCAGTAACCCACGGTGACAACAATGGACAAATGGACAAAGCAAAAAGCTGTTCGGAGCACCGAGTTGGCCCAGCAGCATCAGCCTTTGGTAAGCCACAGGCATGCAGCATGCGCAGGAACTGCTCCATCACAATGGCAACTTTCCAATCGACCTTCCTCGGCTGCCGATGGAGCTGCCCGGGCCACTGATATGACAAAATGTTGCAACCCTACGCCAATGAAAATGATCTACGCGCCAAAAAGGAGTGCGAGGAATGTAGTGTTATCCTTGGCTCATGACCTGAATCACGTCGGGAAGCAAACCTCGTGGGACCTCCAGCGTCTCCACACCACACCCAAAATGGACAGTGAAAGCCGCTCAGTGACACCAAGAAATGAAGAAAGCCGTCTAGCTGCGCGTCTGACATAGGAAATCCCTCTAGCATGGCTCCTTAGTTCCCTCTTGGAGCTATGGGTGATTCTTCACCAAAATCATCCATTCCGGCGAGCCAGTGTAAAATCATCCATTCCGGCGAGCCAGGGTAACACACTCACAAAGCGATGTTGCAAGGGCAAGTAGGAGCCCTGACATGCTGGTGATAGGAAGGAACCCTGACATGACGGCCCCGCACTGCACAACCTCTGATGCTCCTTGCTCAACACTGCTGCAAATTTTGAATTCTGTTGATCCTTCAAAAGCAGAAGTGAACACCACAGCAACTCTGCAAAGGTGCACCTAGAAGATCAACGTTTGCTCTGGCCGTCTCAAGACTACTGGTCATTTGATGTCATTGGTTGGCTCCTAAAGGACTCGGAAAACCAAACTATACCTACTGCGATGCGATTCTCTCAGACCCGAAGTCGTCCTGGATTGGTCCCAAATTTATTCAGCCGTTCAGATAGGGCCTTTTGTTATGGCATTCATTTGGCCATATAGCTGGCTGGAAGCAATCAATCGGTATCGTTTGGACTCCACCCGAGCATTTCGGTAGATGATGCACATAAATATACTCTATATGTATATTATAGAATAAACAGGTATGTACTATATTGTACTACTACATTGTGCTATACTGTTGTATTAATTCTTTGGAGGTACCCAGAAGTACTTGCGGCCCAGTCGCGTCGTGCATTGGTTGCCCATGAAGACCTCAGGGAAAACGCTTTGAAATCCAAGGGAGACACGCCAGGTATCCAAAAAACAGCCGCGACACCCTGAACCACACGAGTCGGCAGAATTCACGACACGGGAGCCAATCTAATTCAGTCGAGTCGAGAGTCCAGGGCCAGGGTTGGGTTCCGAACCCAGTTGGGCTCGAAGTATCTTGCAAGGATCAAGCCCACAACCAACCACGTACTTGGAGCTCTTGGAACAAGCACTACCAGTTTGCAGAGACACGTCTCCAAGAATCCACGGGCGCCGTGATATGACTGATGATGACTGATGTCATGTTCATCTTTGGGGTGCGCGGACGTGCACAAATGAACCGAGAAGGGGAAGGAGGCCTTTACCTTGAACCCAGGAGGTGGTGGGCGTCTTTCTTCTCGAGATTGTTCACTGGCCGGTAACAGGTCCATCGACCCGTCAGAGAAGACGATGCGACCGAAGACCGAGGTCGTGCCCCCTGCCTGAAACCGCGTTCGAAGAACGAGGGGCTGCTGAGAGGGTCTGCAAGCTGCAAATCTCCAAGGGGAAGTTAAAAGGAGTGATGACCTCAAAGTCTTCCCCTGGAAGTCCATCATGACTCATTTTGGCTCCTTACAATCCCATACTACCTCTCGCGCCAGAATGCCGCAGTGAAATGCGTCTGGCTTATGCATGACACGCAGGTCAATGACATAACTAAGAATGTACAAAGAAAGAGGTCCACGGAGACCGTCAAAAATAAAAGTGGTGGACAAATGACTGCGAAAGTGAGGTAACATGAGTAATTATAAACGGAAGTTCTGGGTAGGTAGACGCGGGGCGATGGGTGGCGACGTATGAGCGTTCTCTTTGTTCCATTGTGTTACCATTCTGTGGAAAGCACATGGTGAGGTTGTTCTCCATTGGTTTTCGCTTGTTCCTTCTTCTGGGCCGGGGGGGCAACAACCGTTTAACAACAAACCCTAACCTATAACCCCTAACCTAAACCCTAACCTGACCTACCGTTTTAGAACAAACCCTAACCGCCCTAACCCGCTAATGAAAAGAGGAAAACGGGCTTCAAACAGGGTCCCCGTTGGGAGTGGTCCCCACCGGCGTATCTCCCGTGGGTAGAGCAACGACCAGGCCTCGTTAGGTCTGTTAGGTCTAAGGCAGGTGCTCCAACCCCACCAGTGGAATGAACACGTCCCTCTAACAACCCTAGCTCCCGGGCTCCATGTTAGAGGTATCTGTCGACCGCCTCCTTCCCTACCTCACTCAGAGCTAACGTTCTACATCGCAGAGCCACCTTCCGACATCGGACTGGACCACATGGCTTGGTGGTTGGACCACATGTGAGTCAAACTTCTGTTGGCCGCATGTAGCAAACCTCACAAAGTCACAAACCTCTACCCGAGCTGACTCCTGGAGCCGTTGTCCTGGAGACGGCTCGGTGGAGCAAATTATTCCACCGGTTCTTGCTAGTGGGGCATCTTCCATGACCTATCTGTTGGGATACTATACATGTACGCAATAATGTATAAACATGATTGTATGCAATACGTATACATATACATCATATACACATGCAAACACACGGTATGGATTATATAAATACAATAATGTAGACTCTTGATTAATAAACCCCTCCATTGGAAGTCCTCTTCATATGGGGGGTTTATTGATCTAATCTACATTATTGTAAGTGTTGAAGAAAAGCTCTACCTGGCTAAACCTTTTCCCTTGTGAATCTGAACAGTTGCCACTCCGAAACCGTTCGCGCCCAGCCACGCTGACGCCACCAAACCTGGGCTCTGGAGAAGGTGTTGACGTTAGCAGAAATCTTGCCCAGCTTGGTTTCCAAGTCATGGAGTAATGACATGGTGAAACCATGGGATGAAGAAGAAAAGCTACCAGGACCCTCCTGTTGGGGTGTCCTGGCTGGGACTACCCCACACTACCGGCCGTTCGGCTTCCAAACAGGGCACCCCGACAGGAGGGTCCTGGTAGCGGATTCTGTTTTTGGATTCACGTTCGACCTACTCCAGGATAGTTGTAAACAGGTGTGTATTCAACTAGGGGGAGGGGTCCCCAAGCCACAGGTGTTAGATTCTGTTTCCCTGTGTCACTTGGGGAGTCTCCAACTGACCAATGCCATTCATGTGCAAGATTTTGCGGCCATTTTTGTGGAGTGATGAAAAAGAGATCGCTCGGTGGAACCACCGTAACCACCTCCAAAGTAGGGGCCCCTTAAGATATCTGACAGTTCTATACCCAAGCACTCCATGTATGCCATATATGCCTACATTGACCCCCAAACCCACCCCAACTGATCGGCAGTCCTATGGCAGTCCCATGGGTCGTGCCTGGGATATGGTCCCCTCTGGTCCCCCCAAACGGTCCGACACCACACGTAGAGCTGCGGCATGCGGTAGCCCACGGTGCTTTGGCCCGGATGGTCGCCAGGCAAACCCTGCGACTCGGCCAGCATTCCTCGGTGACCAGTGCGGCGCGAGGAACGTTTCGGACGAGGAGGGCGGAACGAAGCGACCCGAAAGGGCGAACGTCTACGTGGTTGTGGCAGGTTGACACCTTTTCTTCTAGCAATTATTTTAGTGTTGAAGGATGTTGAAGGAACTGCCCAACAGCACTGGGTTTGGAGGAAACCTGGAGATCTACAGTGATTTAGAGCTTCTTCCTTCAACTGCGGGGCTTTCCTTTTACTTCATCCCCAAAAGGCTCATTGGACCCTCATAGCCAGGGTTTTGACCCTCACAGCCAGGGTTTTGGACCTCAAACAAGTAGCAGTTTGAGGGTCCATGAGCCTCTGGGTCTTCCTCATCCAACGCTCCCCTGGACGCACAAACGTTCGTCGTGGGGCGCACGCTGTTCCCACTGTAGTCCTGAAGCCAAGTCCGGACAGCCTGGCGTTCGGTGTAAATCCCACTGCTCGACTGCTGATAAGCTTTTCAGCATGTTCCATGGCACTAGTCTTTTCAACACCCAAACAGTGTTTGGAAGATCCTCCCAGCGGAAAACTGCCTGATCCTGACTCCCGACTATCCAAAAGGTCCTGGCTCGCCTCCCCTGCGCAAGCAAACTCTTGAGGAAAACAAGAAAATGCCCTGCAAATGCCGCGAACTTGCACAGCCACACTCAGATATGCATGCTGCGCAAAACCGGTGCGCCTTGATTTCCCCGCCAGCTTGTGCATAGCTCTTGGGAGCCACGCGTTGGATCAGGCGACAAAAGTAGTCCGAGACCTAGAGTGACCCAACGAAAATCCGCCCAAATACTACTCCATGGGATTGGAATCAAACAATATATCATTTCTTCGATATCATTATATATATATATGGGTAGCCGGCCACTTTGAGGCCATCCAACCCTCCCAGTTCCTAAACATATAACATCAACATAGTAACATAACCAACCATCCATGTATGGAACAGTTAGCTACATTAGCGGGTCATACATGGGACATCATGGGAAGAACATGTAAGTACTATACTATACTATATATAACTATTGCATACATGGATGGCGTGATATATATATATATATATGGATATATCACTAAACATGTCTCACATGTCTTTGGAAGTCTGCCCCATCAAAACATATCCAAGAACTGTTTCCAAGTAGCCTCTGGCTTGAACATCTCTCGAGCCGCGGCCCCGCAAACCTCTCCAAGCATCACATACCTGCAGGCTGGATGAAAGGATGAATTTGGCCGCGACATGCATGACATGGTTTAACAGCTTGATAGTTTTGATGTGATCTTGCCGCACGCTCAGAAAACCCCAGCCTAGAGAGCAGTGCCCTCTTCTAAGGTCCCTGTGAGACAATTGTGGGACAACTCATGGGAAACCACAGAAGGAGACACAAGGTAAACATGTTGGGAAGATTTGGGAAGTATCCTTGACAGAGTTTGCTGTCGGAATGTTTTTTGTTTGCAGCATGTCCCTGTCGGAGACGGTGGGGCATTGCCCTGGCTGCAGTAGCCTCGAATTGGAGGTTTGATACAGCTTCAGTTTCATTGAAAAGAACCTCCAGGCAGGGTGGATTTGACCAACGATGGCAAGAAACGTCTCCCATTCACAAACACTTGGAATGATCATGGCCCCTTCCGGGAAAAAAACATGTTTCCTGTGTTGCGGTTGAGGAATGTGCAGTACTTGGAACTCAAAAATATACACTGCCCTAGTGCTATTGGAACAACATCTTCAAGAAGCGGACATGCTCCTAGCTTTTGTTTAGCCACCGACGCAAAAGGTCTGGAAAACATTGAAAAACTCCCAGTCCCGGCCGCACGAGCCGCCGGCCCGCCCCACAGCTGCAGCCTGTGCCCCAGCCACCCGTGCGGACGCGCCTGTCGGGGTTCTTAAAAGGATTGTGAAGCCCGGAGCGTGGCACCGACGCCATGCGCTGTACAAAGGGCTCAATCTCATCCAGGCCAGTGTTCGGAACCTGCAGGTGCCGAGAACGATTCGAAACCAGGCTGGAAGCTTTCATGTGCACTGAACGGGCTGGACGCCTCAAAAGGGTGGGTTGAGAGTAGCGTAGATGGTTGCCCCAAACATGAATGGCTGACAAACTGAACACCATCTCTTCGTGCCAGCCCCATCAAACTTCCGAAACCAACGTGCATTGATAAGTCCGCGGGGAATTCCTGGGGTCACTACTTCATACTACTTCCAAATAGGGTGTGTGCACATAGACTTGTCGCTTCAGGAACTGAAGCTGCTAATATGTCTCCCTACCCCATGAAAATAGAAACACAAATCACTACACAAATCCTTTTTTTTTGACATATGTGGAGACTCTTGAAGGCTGCTGGTGTGTGGGCAAGGCTCCCCCCCGCACATGAAGCAGCACCCTTCCCCACTTCTTCCAACCCCACCACCTCACTGCACTCTGATGAACAAGAGCGCTCCCCACCGAAAGTTGCCACCCAGTCTCAGTGCTCACCTCCTCCGGTCCGTTCCGTCACCGTTCCGTCCGTCCGTTCCGCAACGCCTTGAGGAAGGCGTCCCCATTCAGCGGATCCACGATGTCCTGGCCGCTCACAAGGGTGAGGCCAGCTAGCCAATATGTAAACTAGCTATTGTGCATAATTGGAATATATATATATATATAGATAGATGTATAATGTATACATATGATTGGTGGTCAAAAGGTATTTTCCCGAAAGCCGCTGTAAAAGTCATGCTGATGGGGGCCCGCTTACATTTCAGAGAGGGTATCGGATGTATGGAAATGTGAAGGATTCCAATCAGAGGTGCAGAATGTTGCAAACGTAGCTAGCGCGAAGGCCTTTTTTAACTCTCTTATGATCTTTTGTTGTCTAAGCCAGCCATGCTGTGAGGAATTGGATTGCAAAGAACAGACATGGGCACAAACTTTCCAAGTAGTAACGGCGAAGATCTGCTTCCAGGACAAAAGGACAGCTGATCACAGTTGAGAACTGTGCTAGCGCAAATGCTTGCGCGGATCTAGCGCACAAGACTCAGAACTTTTTCCGGCTTGAAGTACCGGCAACACACATCACAAAGGTCACTTCTGCATTTCCCCAGTGGACCTACCGCCAATCTAGCGCTGCCTTGATGGTTTGCATGATTCTGCAGAGGGCCCGCTACTAAACCAATACTTGAAGTCAACATCCTAACCATTTTCCATACCACTTTTCCAAAAGCCTTACTATAGGTTTTTGACCGCTGCTCATATGCAGATTTCTCGTGTCCAAAACGTGGACGCTTTTAGCCGGTGTTTGCGCTGTGCCTCGCATGGTAGCGCAGCCTGGTTACTTCTTGGCAGCTGATCCTCGAGTTCGACATAGAAGGCCTCCAGGTCGTCGATCGATGGCTCCACTCCGAACTCCTGGATCTTCTGACGGAAGGACGGCGTCCTTTCTTCAAGCTCGGCATGATGGACGCTGTCGACGCTACCGATTCGAGTGTCACAAACACCTGCGGTTTGCAAACAGGTTCCCCTCCCAATTTCCGCGCGGATTCCACTCACAACTCCGATCGACCGAACCCGGGTTCCTATATTTGGGGAAGCGCTCATGTTCATGTCATGCTCATGCACGTGCGCTTTCAAGGCTGCTCATGTTGCCTTGAAGAGGGACTGGCGGCTGGGCTGTGGAAAGACAGTGTGTACGGCCAATGTTCCCAAAGCGAAGAATCTCTGTCGCCCCATTACGTCAACCTTGATGTCGCGCTGAAGTCCTTGTCCCTCATTGATGCTCATGACGCGTGACATCGCATCTACACCTTCCACGGTGGAAGTCGCTGCTAGATCGATGCTGGCCTTTCCAGTCTGGAGCAGCGATCCCATCGCCAGTTGCACCTGGTCATCTGCTCATGTTGATGGTGGTGTAGCATTTAGTTCAAAGTTGTCACCTGAGATGTCATTTTTCTGCGTTCCTTTTCGATCATCTTTCTTTGGGCAGGAATCTGTACTGTGATGGCCCTTCTTCGTGGTTTCTGTCTTTTCAGATTTCCACATCGTCACACTCTCGCGCCTCATGGGGTATAGAAGTTGCAGTGCTTCTCATCATTGTTTGTTTTGCACGAGCCTTCCGCAAGCTTGGTCCGCGGAAGGGTGAGGTGGTTGTATTCCTCCACCTCTTCCTCTGCCATCGGCTTCCAGTAGAGCAGCCTCGGGGAGACCAACTCCGGATTCCAATTGCTACGCTGACATGGCCCAGCAAGTGTCCTTTGGGCAAATCCGAGCCCGAGCACGGGCACAGTTTTCTGGGCAGCTTATGGTGAACGAGACCTTGGAAACGCCTGCAGCAGTTAAAGAATGGTCGTGAGTTTCCTTGCTATCTCCGGACTTGAGTTGGAACCTTTTGGTCGATCAGACAATGGTGCGTTCATGAAGAGCAGTAGGCCTCTGTGGCAGCAAGACACAAATCGATCGTCTTGTGATTTCAAACCATTTGTTCTTTTCATGTTTTTTCGCCTGGGTGGTGACGCTGGGGGACTCGGCGACTGGCGGGTGTGACAGGCTGGGGTGACCGGATGAGACCGGAATGCTTTTTGGATTTGCCTGAAGTCGTGATCATTTGCATGAGAGATGGTGATCTCATGGTTCTTCATGGGTTGACCAAAGATGCACCAGGCTGAGATGTAGCAAACTCTGAGTGTAGTGAAGGTAGAGTCAGGGAGGACATTGCAGAAAAGAGAAAACCTCAAGCAGCTCAGTGCATGTTGGCCCTGGAGTTGGGCCTTCATCATGGACCGGAATAGGATGTCATCGTGCACATCTTCCATGAGTAATGAAGCTGAACCTCTGCTTTGGTCACGCCGTCGGAGGTCCGTCTCTGCCCAGTTCAGCTTCAAGGCTTCTTGCACACTGTTGGTGGCAAAGTCATTCTTCGTGGCGCGCTCCGATTCTGCAGCAGCATCCATGCCACAACGAAGTCTGGCAGAAACTGTTCTGCCCCTTCTGGCGCTTGGTCCGAGATGTTTGCTTGGTGTAGTTGCTCCTGTGTCACATGCCTTTGATAGCCTCTATCCTACCATGATATGTTGATTGTCCCACCAAAACCCTTGGTCTTGGTTCCACTGCCAAGCATCCTCATTGTCTTCTAAAGGCCGTGATCGTCACCCTTCAATCTTTTCGCGCGGTCAGGTTGATGACGTGTGGCCCGGCTTGCACCATGATTGCCGCTGCATGGACTGATGGCACCTTTCCGAATTCCGGCTGAAGACTTGATGACACATGAAATATCCCTGTCCATATTTCCCGATGGCCTCTGCCAAGGCCTTGGGAGACTCACACAGGCTCAATCGTGGCGTTCGATGTGGCAGAAGACCTTGCCTATGGTCTTCCCAGCGCAAGCCAATGTAGGAGCTTGCACCGGCCTTCAAGAAGGCCAGCACTTCCTGAGCGCCCCTCGCATGAGAGATCCACCCCAGTGACTGGGGCCCCGCTAAAGGTCTCTTCTTCCAATCCAACGTCTCCACATAGTTAATAGTTCTTCAACGCAGCTCGTTTTTTATGGTATAGTATGTATTGATTGTTGGGATCCCATCCCGGCTATATCTCACCTCTGTCATCGCTCCCTTCCAGCAACAAAAGGATCTCTTCCTCAAAGTCCCTGGATCTTCGCTCTAATGCCCGTGCGGATTTCCAATCGAATCACTTTCGCACTCGGAGCCGATGCTCACGGATCAAGCACCCCCCCCCCAGTGTCCAAAAACAGGACGCTTTGCGGGCGGGTGTTTGCGCCTGCTTTGCGTGCAAATATAACAAAATACCGTTTATTATACATATGTTGTATTATTATTGTTTATTTCTATTGTTGCTATTATGTGATATGATGATGTGTGTGTGCGAACATGGGACCAGTTATGAGCTACGTGTCGTGGCACCCTCCTCGAGGGACACTGAGTGGCACACTGTGATGCATGGTTTGTGAGCAGACTTCAATCTGATCCCCACTTGGTAGCTCCAAGCCCCAAGCCGTCTCCTGTGAATGTTTCGATTTGCTCCAGGATCCTCCACCTGGGGCGGGACGAAACGGCCATGCGGCAATGCAAACCCATCAAGTCGGAATTTGCCTACACTCCAACTCCCTGACATTGAAAGGTGAAAAACGTATTAAAACATTGAAGAGGAACATCATCTATGTCATGTCTTCTCGTGTCCATGCCATCTACTTGCAATGTCATTGGTCTAAAGTATGCTAAGTGACCTAACCTTGGGGTCCCATGACTCACGACCTTTTACAGGCCAAATTCAGTGACTGAACTAACCAAGAAATCAAGTTCAGTCATGAACGGAGGAAATAGGTTTCCCTAAAGACTAACAGTTGCCTGCAGCTGACTTGCAAAAACCAAGCAAATGTCTGCTGCCAAATGGTGCAAACATGTGAAAACCACTTTTTTACGGCATGCTTAGTTCCAATTGGCACCTGCCCCACATTCGTCTCCGTAGTGCCCTGAGCTTCCAGCAAAGGTTCATGCCTTCAGCTGGTTGTGCTGCAGACATGGTCTCTGGATCTACCTGAGGGCCAAAGAAACTGAACCTTCGCGATTCAGCTGAGGACCCGTCCTGGGGTCCAAACCTTCTTTCCTTTGGGTATGGGCCCAGCTACGTTTTCCCAACAGCAAGGTGGTAAATGATTAGAAGCATCTTGAAACCAGAAATTCCGCAATACTCACCTAGTGTGACCATTCCACACTACTCAAGAAATGTAACATCGTACACGACAATAGAAAACGTATGTGGTCCGCAACATGGTTCTCCTCTGACCTGGTCCTTCGCAATCCTCATAAAACTTCTTTAAGCTACACAGTTCTCCCAAACACTCCCCCTTTTCAACCACCCCAATGTAGGCAATAACATGGAGCGCCTTCTTGCTCTGCTCCTTTTACACCATGTGACCGTGGCCCAACCGGGCGCCGCAAAGGCTCTGCGTGATGCGCCGTGTCTCGCCAGGGAAGTCAGCGGTCGGGCCACTGCCTGGGCGATGCAACCAAAAACCGTGTGATTCATGGCTAGGACCCCCTATTTGAGGATGGGTGAGGAGAGTACGACATAGAACCACATATGTATCTGCGTCTACATCCTTGGTGTGGACGATCTTGGGCCCTCCAAGTGCACAAGTATATAAAGCGTAGAAGTAGCTGCTTTTAGCGTCATCTCCCGTTCTCTAGCCTCCTTTACAGGGCCCAGGTTGTTTTGTTGATCGTCCCACCACGCCGACGAAAGACACAGCTCCCTATGCTCCCTGCCTGGGTCGTCTTCATGGCGTGCCAGGCGAGCATGGCTTCAAAAGTCGTCCAAGACAAAGGCCCGCAGTTTCTGTGACACCTCAGTGGGCCTCCGAAACAACTCTGTCTCAACTGGGTGAAGATGGGTGAAGGTATTGGTTGAAGCGACTGAAAGTGAACTTTGTCAGAGGTTTCTGCATGTCGGTGGCTGGAAACGAGTGGGTGCTGTGCTGTGCGGTCCATGTGGTGTGAGCTTCGTTGTTGTTTGACCTGATGGATGGCTCCATGGCTCCACCATGCTCCACCGTTTTCACTCCCGGGCGCGCAGGCTGTGAAGACCGTCGGTGTGTCGATGACGACGTGGCCCGTCATCGCCGGTTCCAACGATCGCATCGATCGCCGCGGAAGGACGGGTGGGCTCGGTGGGCTCCAGGTGCCATGACCCATCGGACCCATCAAGTCGGACCTCCACGTGCTTCTGTCGCTTCAAACGCGACAGGCTGTGTCTGTGTCTCTCTCGGGCGAAGTAGAGAATTTCACATCTGGAGCATTTGGTTGAACCATCAGATTGAAGTGCATCTGTATAATAGCTAGATTATAATAGTAAGTAAAGTAATTGGCAAATCCAATCACCACAGGTGATGATGGTCAGTACAACTTATACCGAAACATTACACATAGGCAAATCATGTTGCGTTCAAAGCAACTATAGCTGAAGATGCGGAGGGAGGGAAACCCTGTCCGCCATTCTTCCTCCTATTGGGATACACTCCGAAATCATGGACTTAGACCAAATAGGCCCACTAAGGCGCCTGGGAAAAAAAATCAAAACTTCTGCACACAGGTGGTCTTTCCGCTTCCAGTACTCAGAAGCCTCACTTAAAAAGAACAAAAAAACAACTCCTCCCTGCAGCCCCCATCCCTGAGCACCCCTCTCTCCGCTCCGTGCCCGTCTGGTCCCGTTCCGCTCCGCCCTCCGTCCGCGACCGCTCCGTCCCGTGAACCCGCTCCGTCTCGTCGGTGTTCACGAAGCTCGCCGCATCCAAGGCGTAGGGCGTCAAGCCTGGCTGTGGAGAGCACCGGAGCGGACGTTCTCCGCGCTCGGGTGGAGCGACGAAACACGTCTCGGGGTTTTGGAGCGACGAAACGTCGGACGACGAAGGACGCAACGAGCAACATGAGAACCACAAAAAGGCCTTGGACACTAGGCCAAAAAAATGTTATGCCTACTCTTGGGGTGGTTTGAGAGATGAAAAGGCAAAAAATGGCAGAGTTGGAAGATCTAGATTCACTATCATGAGGCGCAAAGTGCAATGACTTTGAAGATGCAGGTCTCGTCATCTCGTCACTTCTCTCGCCTTTGCATCTAATATCAAGCTCAAGCACATCAAAAACATGATTTGAACCTATTGTCGCCAGTTCAATGGAAGAAAGCTTCACCCATTGCCACTCGCTGCTTAAACACCACACGTGGCAGGACTAAGCTTTGACGCCCACCTTTCTGCAAACCAAAACAATGCGAATAACCAAAACACATGAAGACCTTCTACTTCAGAGGGAGAGTCTGCTGGGTGTTTTTGGGTGAAGGTGGAAGGCTTTAAACCTGAGCAACTCTGAACCTGGCGCTTTTGGCTCTACGTCATCAAATTAGACTGCGATGCATCCTGGCCGTCCTGGTCCAAAATCAAGAACCATGGATTTCATAGCTCGGAACCTGGAACAGGCTTAGGCCTAAGGCGGCTTAAGCAAAAGGAACAAATATTGACAAAAAAAAATCACCCCGAAGCAAAACAAACACATGTCAACAAGAATGCCTTGGACGACTTGACCAAGCCCTGCTCCATCAAATCTTAGGATCCTGCGCACTTATTTTTTTTGGTTTCACCTGGAAGAAACTGTCTAAAAAACGTTCTGGCGCATGAGCCTTCCCTGTCGAACAATCTTCCTATCTTTTACTCAGGTTCTTTTCTCTCCCTAGGGATCCAAGTACCTTCTCAGCAGGTGATTGGAGACACCGCTATGTAGGTTTGGAGGGTCCAAGTACCTTCTCAGAAGGTACTTGGATCCCTAGGGTCTAGTATTCTCTAGTGCTGTCTCCCCCGTCTTTGACCGTGCTCCGCACACACGCACACACACACACACATATATATATATATATGTATATATAGTCCCCCTTTTAGAGTTAGCCGAATTTCAAAATTTTTACAATCATTGATTGATTGGCAATAAATGTGCAATTCGGACACCAAACAAGCAATCGGAATGAGCATCCTGAAAAAATAGAGTTAGCTGCGCACGCTCTTTTTTCAACCCATCTCAATCCCGTGCTCATGCAGATGCACTGGGACTGCAAGCTGCCAGCCGCTCTGTCAGCTTGGCCAGCGTGTCGACCCAGCGCTCCTTGCGCTCCATGGCTGTCACAGCCGCCGAGTGGCGCTCTGGCCAACTCTATGACTCTCGCTTTGAGCAAGCTCACAAGTGGATGTGCAACCCCGGCCTCCATGTCTGACTCTGACGGTGGACACACTGGCGCTGGAAGCGGAGGGGGTTCTTCCACGGCCCCAGGAAAAGAAACCCTCGAAAGTGGCAGGATATGTTTGTGCCACAGCCCCTAAAGCGTTTGTGTTGTTTATGTGCAAACTCTATAGCTCAACTCTATCCAGCTACTTTGTATATCTATATATATATGTGTGTGTGTGTGTGTGTCAACCCCTGGGCCAAGGGTTCACCACCACCTGCTTTTCCACCACAACTTTACACGCAGGGGGGCAATGCACGACTGACAGACATTGCCCAACGAAGACGCTGTCAGTTCGTGGTGAAGCAATGCGGGACGCCGCATTGTGTACCTGCTGAGTTTTTCACAAGCTGTGACCCTCCTTCTCCACGGTTTGTTTCATGGTTCTTTCACGTTTCTTACCCCAAAAACAGGTTTCCCACAGCTGCTTTCAGCCGCCGTCGTTCAGCCGCGCTTCTGCAGACAAGTGAACAATTTGTTCAACAATTCAGTTGCGCTGACCCTGTCACCTTGCGTTTCCCTCATTCCTTTTGACCTGGGAACTTTGAACTGAGTGTAACTGAATACAATTGTCAGAGTGTGTTTCGCTCAGCCGTCCCACTCGGGTGCTGAGTGTGATCCCCGTCATTGGGGCGCTGTCTCATCGTGCAAGCAGTAACTGACCTCACCGCCTTTCACAGGAACTCCACCGGAAGTCACCTCCACATCCACCGAATTAACTGCCACAACGGCCGCCGGGCCTAACCACGGGAACTGACAGTTTTGCAGCGTTTGCCTTTTTCTGCATGAAGTTTCTGCATGATTTTCCGCATGACCTTGCATATACACTCAAGCAATCTGACCTGAGTTTTCGACAGTTTAATTCGATTTGCATGAACACCCTACCACACCACATACTAACTTTCCACGCGCTGAAGCTGCTGCCACCGAGCTAGTGAAGCTCTACGTCCAAAAAGGACAACGAAATTGCTTGCAGCCGATATTTGAAAGGAAAAAGCGCCGACCACGGCAATCTGTGTGTGTCAACCCCTGGGCCAAGGGTTCACCACCACCTGCTTTTCCACCACAACTTTACACGCAGGGGGGCAATGCACGACTGACAGACATTGCCCAACGAAGACGCTGTCAGTTCGTGGTGAAGCAATGCGGGACGCCGCATTGTGTACCTGCTGAGTTTTTCACAAGCTGCGACCCTCCTTCTCCACGGTTTGTTTCATGGTTCTTTCACGTTTCTCACCCCAAAAACAGGTTTCCCACAGCTGCTTTCAACCGCCGTCGTTCAGCCGCGCTTCTGCAGACAAGTGAACAATTTGTTCAACAATTCAGTTGCGCTGACCCTGTCACCTTGCGTTTCCCTCATTCCTTTTGACCTGGGAACTGAGTGTAACTGAATACAATTGTCAGAGTGTGTGTGTGCGTTTCAAACGCTGCAGCAGTGTACTTATACGCCTGGACTATGTCAGTGTACATGTCCAAAATGTCAGTGTAGCAGTGTACTATGTCGGTGTAACCGTGTACTTCTGTGTCAGTGTAAATGCCTGCGGAGTCAAATGAAACAAATTGCCTGAGCTAGACCCTCTAAAATGGGCCAGGCTAGAGGATAGAGTTAGCCACATGGTCCAAAATATGCTGAGCTAGACCCCCTAAAATGGGCTAGGCTAGAGGATAGAGTTAGCCACATGGTCCAAAATATGCTGAGCTAGACCCCGTAAAATGGGCTAGGCTAGCCGGGAATGATTTTTTGCAAAAACAATGTTTTTTTTTGCATTTTCTGCCTTGGGTGCATGCCTTTAAGGAATGCTGTTTTGGATATAGAGATATCCGTTTGGGTTTTAACAAAATGTATGTTTTGGCAATAGAGTTAGCAAGTTAGCCTCCATGAGTTCACAAATCACTGGGTGACGGCTTTGACTGAAAGGGGGACTATATATATATATACACATACAGTACATACACACTCACAAACAACAAACACAACCCACCAACGAACCAGGCAGCCTGCCAGACCAAACCAAACCAAAACACAACTCCGAACCCCGGAGTCACCCGGAAGCACCAGTCAGTCTTCTCTTCCTGTCCCATGTCATCCCAGATTCTGAACACGCCAAACACCATTGTCGACGCTCCGTTTTCGGGGTGTCCTGGCTGGACTACCCCACAGTTACCGGCCTAATTAGGCGTCTAAAAAAAGGGCACCCCGACAGGAGGCACAATTCGACGCTCCCACCTCCCTTGCAAAAGCAATAAGCTAACAGCCGTTCCTCGGTGCACCCCATCGATCGGGGAGACGAGTCGTCGTCGGCGGTCGGAACGGCCCGTATGTGCACAGCGCGGGGACGACCAAGCCGGGTAGCAAGCGGACCGGCGGCAACAGCGGACCGGCTTATCGCGGATGGTCAAAGTGCCAGGTATGTGTCTTGGGACTCCGTGGCATAGCAGTCCTCAAAACCTCCATCTGAACATATCTGAAATCAGAGTTTTCAGAGTCCACACTTTGGATCAAAAACCCAGCCTCGGGTGGGTTCTGGTGAAATGTTAGGCAACAGTGAAAAAAGCCCTGGTCACCCGGTGAGTTTGGGGGCACGAACAAACAAAAGTCTGATCAAACAAAGGCCCAATGCAGCAGAAAAGACGAGGTTCGCCTCACAACCTCTGGCGTGTCCTTTCAGGAGCACGTTCCTCAAGATTGGCGCCAAACCGCCTCTTCCATCCCTGCATGCCACTTTGGCAGCTGGCGGTGCTTTTTGGCAACGTGGCCCATACTAAACGCATGGCCTTTTCGGCTTGCTTATGCATGAATGCTGAACTTCCCTCCCCGTTGGAGGGGTGCCAGCATGGCCTTGTCCGGTCCCTTCTGCGCTGTGCACGAAAGAGGCCGGCAGAATCAGTCCAGAGTGAGATCCAATGGGGTTGATGCGGGGACGATGTCCGGAGAAACAACCCCTCTGCGGAATTCATGTGCCATCGAATGCATCAGAAACCTCTTAAGAAAGGAAACGGCTTCTTGGTCTGGTCTTATTGGTCTTAGTTTTTAGATGTTTTTAGATTGGGGATCTGCAACATCTCTGAGCAAAGGCCGCAGGGGTTGTTGGCAGGTGGGTGACCACCCGCAACTCAACTCGCGGTCTCACCCCCTGCATCACCACCACTAGTGGCTTCTGAGGAGCAATCAATCAATCCCCCAAAACAGAAATTGAGGATACTGCACATTCATCGAACAAACACGGGTTCATGACGAGTCATGTCAATGCCCTAGCTAGTTTTTTGATGTTTTTTGGAGTGCAATCATGGAAGTGCTAAGTGCTCGACAATGGAACATGTTCAGCTTCCCATCCGAGAGTACTCTGATCATATCTGATCTGCCTCGTCTGCCCCTCAAGCCCTTACGTCGCATGAAATCGCGCATGCGTTCCCTCAGAGGATGGAGACTGGGATCGTTCCAAATCTTCTAAGGAGCTGGCGACCATCAAAGGCAGTCGCCGCCACTGGCCTCAGGTTCGCTCATGGTCTCAGGCCGTGCGAGACCTGCAACAGATGCGTCGACCGGTCCGAAATTAACATATCAAAACCCGGGAGGTTCAGGAACATCATGAAAGATCATGGATGATGGCATCTTTATGGGAAAAAACAGCCTGGCCCAGCCCCTCCAGCCCCAGTGACTGGGCAAGGGCTCTTGCAAGGGCGATTCAACTCCTAGGAGATCACCATAGGAGCCGCGATACATCGCCAAGGATGGAGAAGGGTTCACTTCCAAAAGCAAGACTTCCCTGGCAGAGTTCACCAAGAAGTCCTTGGAGAAGCAAAAGCTGAGAAGGTTTGAAACACACATCTGATATTATCAATAATCAGTTCAGCCAAGAGTTGTCTTTCCCTGGAGATTTCATGGGAAAAACCAGTGTCCTGGACAACTGGACAAGACCCATGGATTGTGTACGAAATCTTGCATTACCTGAGGTGTGTGCTCAAATGTATTGCAAATGCATATTGTGCACCATAAAAGATATCTTCCATCAGCAGTGGGATTGTAAACTGCCTGGTTGTTGGGTCCGAATAATTCATCATACTATAGTATAACTTATATACAATATAATCATTGTAAATTGTAAATACATTACATATATACCTAGTTTTCACAATATTTATAGTATGCAACACGGAGAACATGAGCTGTAACTGCACTAGGTGGGAGATACCTCACAACCTCTAAGTCCACCCTGCTGGCCAGCCTGTGACATGGGACGCGACCAGATCGGTGGTTTCTGCACCAAACAGAAACAGGTGCCCACAGCACATATCGATCTCAAAGGGTGCTGGTCTAGGACTCTGTTGCCGTCCGTTGAAGCCGCCCCCACATCGACTTACAGAAAACACGCAATTATATAATTGGATATAATTGGTGAAATGGAGTCTCTTGCGGTGCTTGTCTTAGACGGGCTGCATTTGGTAGCCAGTTTGGTAGACTGTTTGGAACGATCTAAGCACCATTTTGTCAGGGCTAATGGAACAAATTCCCAAATTCAGCCCAAACGATTGAGCAATATTGAGCATCTCTAATTAAAACACGTGAGTCCTAAAATAATGCTAAGGAACGCCATGCAAACCGTACTATGCTGACTGCAGCCACATGGACCAAAGAAAGAAGCATCTGAAATAGACAGGGATGATCCTGCCCCGATCCCCGAACAGCAAGCCAAGCATCCACACCAAAGAGCTCCCAGCCTGGCAAAAGCAGCAAAGACCGCGAGGCGTGGATGGAGGATGAATCTGTCGAAGCTGGATTCGCAGGAAATCCAAGCCACGCATCAAAACCTCAAACCTCCCCCCAACACAAGCGCCACGGCTCAGCCACTATTAAATTTATTACATCTGTGCCTCTCCATCACTCCCCCCTCGCCAGTCAGTTTATGACCCGCACACGCCGCACCATAAATAGGGGCCAGGCAGCAATTGGGCAGCGTGAAGAAATGCCTCCGCCCCGTGGTGCGAAGGTTGTTCAAGGTTCGCGTCAGGACCTCGCACAGCTGCTGGAAGATCTCGGAGGACACCTCGCCCAGCTCATCCAGGGACATGTTCTGCTTGGATTCCTAATCGGAGGCGCTGAAGGACGCCACCCACATCCGTTTGTTTGTGGTTTTGGGAGGTGCTTGTTTTGGGGTTGCTGTGCGGGCCTTTGCCAAGCCCACAGTGGTGTCGCTATGATCTCCGCCAATCATACAAACTCCGCGAAGAGCATGACTGGGAGATATATATCATGTGCATCGGCGGATGAGAAAAAGCAAACTGCTGTAGCCCCGGCCAGGCCGGGTCTATAGGACCCCTCCTGCACCCCATAAAACAAAACAAACAGTCTATCAGGACCCTCCAAGAGGTGTCTATTTATAGCCCCTGAGCTGTTAAGGGGTGTCATGGGGTGTCCATTAACCACCCCTTGGGGGGTCCTGGTGTAATCATAGATTTTTGTTTGGACCACGCCAACTTTCATCTATAGCTTGTCTAATGCATTCTTCTAAGGTTTTCCGAGTTTTCTGCACATGGCTGCATCCATCTGCAATCCAGGTCTCCGAATATCCTGTGACTTCCTGGTTCACCCCCATGTTCGTCACATGCACCGCTTCACGATTGCCATCCTGGTCATTGTAAGGCTGGGTGGCCAGGAGAACGCGCACCTCTTCATGGAGATAAGCCGTCAAATCCTGAGAAGTTCGTCGAAGGATCCGAAGTCCGATCGCGAGACTCCAGGAATTGGTTCAAAGGGAAAGTTCTACTGGAAGCCCATAAGAAAATGGGAGTGAACATTGAAGGGCTACCTGATGTTTCAAAGTAGATCTTCCCTTTATAACCATTGGTACAGCCATATACAGCCAATATCCTGGTGGCTTCAACCTGACAACCTCATGCACCACCGGCTATGGTCATGCTTTGCCCAAATAACTGTTTAATCACTCCAATAAACACTGCTTCAAATACCAACACCTCTACTGGAGGGCTGATGATGGCTGATGGAACTACTTCCATTTAGGCCCGAACTCATTCTACAGTTGCACGATGGATTCGCCAACACCTTCAAAGCGCAAACTGGATGGATTCGGTCTGAAGCCATCTTCCCAATGGTGGTTTCTACCCTGTTCACATACAAATACATACAAGCTACAGGATCTGGCGCGGGCCTCTTCTCACTTGCCCAGGGCCTAGCAGTATCCAACGGTCGCTCGGAGTGGGTCGAAACCGGGTCCTCTCGTCCAAGGGTCGCCCACGCAAAGCAGCAACGCTCGCAAGTGGAACTTGCGGCCCTCGTGGAGGTAGGGGGTGACGTTCCTGCCCGGATGGTCTGGGACCCACCATTGATATCACCGGAATCCAGGACTGCTTAGGTGCTAGATGGGATCTAGTATGGGGTAAATGCATATAACATCATGTAACTACTCCAGTCCCATGGATCACTGAGATTGGGACCTAACTTGGAGACAGTTTCATGGGTCAAACATGGAGGGAGGATGCTCATTCATGGATGGTTAGGGGACCCACCCAAAGGGTGCCCCCCTAAGGACAGGTTTTGGAGTGCAAAGAATATAGCCTGCGAACCCGGGAGACCAGTTTAACGAGTACATATTATAAGAACGACTTTCATGTGAATGAATTTGTTATGAACAAGTTTAACGAGCATACTTTTGGTTCATAGGGGTAGATATTGCCAGGAGTGTACTGGGACTGAGGGGGGTCGTAATCCACCATGACGCGCCCCTCGTCCTCGATAGACTCAGTTTCTCTGAATCACGTGGATGGTCTGGATGCTTCTACATGCGTGTGGAAAACTCAAGTGTCATTTCAACGTGTGGAACTTATGAAATGCCAAAATCATAGGAACAAACTTAAATACTTGCAACATCTTGCAGTTGTTTAGAGAAATTGTTTGGACAAGAAAGGCTCATTCTTCCACACAGCTTGCAATATGCAATTCCTCAAACCATCATGCCTGAATGATGGCAAATTCTGCCTGCTCATCACCATCTAGCCTACAATATTCATCAGTATTCCTGGAATTGATGTTGCAGTCACACCATGTCACACCACTGCCCTGAGCGATCCTTCCTCTTCACGTTCCTTCCGTACCCGCGGGACCTCGCCCGCGAAACCGTCAGCGCGCAGGCGCGGCGCCTCTGCAAGACCCAAACGTCCGCTCCACCCAACAATTCCCCCGCGCACTTCCGCGCGCGCCAGGCGTTCCGCAGCTGCTGGAGGCTCAAGGCCAGCAGGGCAGCGGTGCAGAGGCGCCGCTCCCAACGGCGGCGCGGCGTGGCGTGGAGGGTCCAAAGCAAGGCCACTAAGCCCAATAGAGCTAACCAGGGCGGTTCAGTGGGGATCTGAACGATGGCATCTGCTTCCTGGGGTTGCTTCGGACAAAGAGCGCGCAAGTTTGTAAAGGCCAAAGGCGAAAGAAAGGGCAGTCTGTTGAATAGCTGATGAGCTGTTCGGGGATGGTGTGAGCTGTTAGGGGATGGTGTGAGTTGTTAGGGCCATTCCCAGGACCCGCAAGCTTTGTGTATGAAGTGTCCCCTACCAAAAAATAGCCCCTTGCAGTCCAAAGGGTGTTCATTCACCACTCCTAAAGGGTGTTCATTCACCACTCC